GGGGGGACATGCGGGGGTTTGGGGGGTCCTGGGGAGGTCCCAGGGTTTTTGAGGGTCCCCAGGGATTTGGGGGGGAATGGAGAGGGAGGGGCCAAGGGATTTTGGGGTGTCCCAGAGGTTTGAGGGGGAGGTGTTGAGGGGTCCCAGGGGGTCCTGGTGGTTGGGGGGGGCTTTGGGGGGTCTTGGTGGTGTAGGGGGCTCACGGCAGGGTCACTCACGTGCTGGGCAGGAGCCCCAGGTTGGGGAGGCGCAGGGCTGGGGGGAGTCCGCCTAAACTCGCCCCGTCCCGGGCCCAGACCCAGGCCAAGGTCAGGCCCAGGGTGGGCCCCTGGGCCAGGAGCTGCTGGGCCAGGAACTGCCCTGGGGGGAGAGACAGGGATGTGTCACCCACTGCCACCTCCTGCCACCTCCCCTGGGACCACCAACACACCCTCAAGATTTTATGACACCCCCTGAGAACTCCCCAACATCCCCCTTGTAGCCCAGGAACTGCCCTGGGAGGGGGACAGGGACGTGTCACTTCCTGTCACCCCCCAGGACTCCCCTGGTCCCCATAACCCCCCCAGTGCTCCCAATGCCCCCCCCAGCCCCTCCCAGTGCCCCTCCCGTTCCCTCCAGTGCTCCCAGTGACCCAAATTCCCCTCCCAGTCCCTCCTAGTGCCCCCTCAGTGGCCCCAAACCCCCTCCCAGTGCCTCCCAGTGTCCCTCAGTGCCTCCAATCCCCCTCCCAGTCCCTTCCAGTACCCAACTGGCCATAGCCCAGGATCCCAACGCGGCGACTCTGTGGAACCTCCATGGCCTTGGGAGGGGTGGTAGGGGTCACAGGGGGTCCTAAACACGACCCCCCGATCCCTCAATTGCCCCCTAAGACCCCCAATTACCCTGCTCCCTAATTATTCCACGAAAATCCCTCTAATTACCCCCCAAATTAACCCCCCATCTCTAATTACTCCCAGCGCCCGCAATATCCCTCTAATTAACCCCCCAACACCACTACTTACCTGAAATCTCCCCCCCAATTACCTCCCGCCCTCTAGTTACCCCCCAAATCCGTCTAATTATCCCCCCCCAATTAACCCCCGGCCCTTAATTACC